ACACTAAATACTAGACAGCACTCAAGGCTATTTCGTCATACTCTGGAACGTATCAGTAACGCATACCTACGACATGTTGTTTGGTGAGCCAAAGGCTGACAGTTCTCGTGACGAGCTCAGTATCAATAAACCAGTGGGTTTCACCTCACTACTATAGATCCATAGTATAACCCAAACATTGTTCAGCTCAGTGGAAAAGTACTTATCTTCACTCCCAACTCTGTTGACACCATAGATTATTGCTGCTCATAAGAAATTCCGGAAGTCTGTCTCAGAAATAGTTACTAGGGTGCGATGGAAAATAACTCAACTCATGATTTGAGGAGATTAAATGACCTCAAATTGATTTTTGTAACGGATTCACATCAGTTAGTCAACAAAGTTAGGCTTGAAGAAATACTTTCTTATTACATTGAGTAATTTTTACGCTACATTGTGGATCAAACATTATATAGAATCGTGGACAACTGATTGCAACCCATTAATAGAATGATAGCTTGTTAGCTAAGAGACATGTAGGTCCTTGACTTGCAGTCACACGAAGCTTTGAGTATGCCACGCTAAGGAATCTTAACATAGAGTGAAACAACTCTTCAGTTCTTTCAGATTCTCACTGGTTTTTGGACTGCCTTGGTTAGCAAAAAACCAGGTTCCAATAACAGATAGCGAAAATCTCATCTGATTTTATAAGTTTGGAGTAAGAGAAAGTGACATAAACCAAATTCTTAGTCTCAGTGCGCTAAATTTTTCTATATGAATCAAATATTTAATAACAAAGTATCTGAACCTCTTGAATAGGATGATCAAACTTCTCAGTTTATGTTGCTATTCCTCACGACTGAGTAGATTTTCAACTATCCAACTGTGGTGTCAACAGAGTTCTAGTTGAAAACCACCTCACAGCCAAAATCACAAGGTGTGATCTCTGTCAAGTAGCAACGAAGTATACAACTGAACTTGTGTAATTAGGAAGCACTCAGGCTGGTAGGTAGATTTTGTCTGAGAAACCAGAGTGATCTAAGCACTGGACGGCAGTTTTGCTCGTTTGGGGCTGAGTTCATGAGTGGTGTACCCGGGTAGATTCAGCTCACAGAGCCAAATAATTTTAGGTTACCTGAGATTTGCGAATCAGCCTGAGTGTTTTCTAACTACTCAATGTCCTCAGTAGTATATTCGGTATGAATCACTTCTTCTTTATAAAGGCAGGCTTGAATACGCTGTCATGTAAGTGTAGAAAGCAAAGGTCACTTTGCCTAGTTAAATCGCAGTAGGTGGGGTGTTGCATGTCTGCTCAAACTATATACTGATTGTGTCTGTCTGTTTATCTAACAGGCATCTTGGCTACTACCTAAACTTCAGGCCACAGCATCGAAATGTGATTTTTTAAATTTCTTAACTGTTACTGATGCACAAAATGCAGTGTAAACATGGTCTAGAAATCTCGCGGATCAGTACCCTCACCGAGTATGAAACATCCACTGACATATTCACATGAAATCAACCGCTCTTGTCAAAGCATTCCGTTAACGTCCCCTCAAACTGTGAACTGTCAGGCTTCAATGCATGCATTTTCGCCGGGTAATCGGTTCGTATAAAGCCGTACTCAACTCCCTATGGCTAAAACAGTGCAGGAGGCATACTGCTAAAGTTACCACAACCTTGCAGATTAAAGTGCTTGTTACCTTCTGCAAAAAATATTTATTCTACAAGGCCTGGCCAGTGGACTCATAATGCTGACATATTCAAAGTGGTGGCTTTCAAGGGCTACTGATATACAGCGAGGCTAGGGTTAAAGACACCAGGATTCCTGACCAAATATCTCTTTTCTTCGCAAGGTAAGACGACACCCGTCTCTTGAAATTGTTTCAACAGCAATGCCTACTAGAATTAAGAAGCTGAGTTTACCTTACCTTCTGGTTGAACTGATCTCAGTCCACTGGGTTGAAGCCTGACAGTTAACAAAACCATGTGTGCTTTAAGGACCTGTAGCACTGATCTAGGGCATATTAATCCCTATGATTTCCTCCAAGTCAACCTGATGTTATGTTGGTTGATATGCAACAGGGCGACACGTATGCTCACCGACGTACACAACTAGGCTCAACCCGTAATACCCGGTTCACATCCTGGTTTTCACGAGCCAGCAACATAGATCCACGACCATGTGGCGGAGACATAAGGAGTTTCTTTAAGCTGATACCCTAGCAGGTGTTCATGGAGCAAATCTATGCCACACAGACAGTCGTAAGTACTCTCATCTACAAGCAGTTTACTGGAGTCTCTGGAACAAGTGAAATGATTTTAATCTCTTACATTTAGACCTTCACTTGAATTATTCTGTAATCGATAATCTGCCCACTAAAATGTTTAGAAACTGAGGGAATTTCTCAGATATGAATAACATAAAGGGAATAGCATGCTCAAAAAATTAGGAGTTTACAATTTTATTTCATATCCTTCTATTAACTTCGACTTAAATTTAATTGGTAAGAGAAAACTTTTATGTTTACTAACGAAGTTATTATTACTACTATTATAGAAATGAGTCGAAATCACTAAAGCCAGTCATGGAAACTTACTGGAAATCCTCAACCACAAAGATGCGAAGCGACATTACAGACTAATATTTATGTGATCAGCTAACTGAGACCTATTAAGAAATCAGTGTTCTTGATACCAAGATCAGTCACCTAGTAAACTTAAAGATGAATTTTTAGACAGTATCGAAACCTCATCAGACAAAATAAGTCGAGCGATTCGACCCAGCATAGCGACGGTAGAATTATTATTTTTTTCCCTTAGGCGCGTAGTAGAACATAGGGATTCAGTAGCACGCCTCCATTGCACTCGCTTCTCTGCAGTCTTTTCAACCTTGCTCCACCACTGGCCACAAGCTTTCATTTCTTCCTCACATGATCTCCACCATGTCACCCTCGTCTCGGACGCCCATCTCATCGTTTATCATTTGGGTCTGGTGCGTGATGTCCCCAGATGGTTTCCTCAGTGTATGGCCGATCATATCCACTTTCTTCTGAACATTCGCCGGTTGATAGGTTGTTGGTTGGTTTGATGCCAGCCAGAGTTCCTTATTGCTTATTCTTATTATTCTGGCCATCTGATCTTCAGCAACAAGTGTAGACAACTGTTGATGAATGTTTGTAGTTTGTTGGAAATGCTTTTCGTGACGCGCCAAGTTTCTGAACGATACTGCAGAACTGACTTGACTGACAACGGTGTTCAAAATCCGGATCTTGTTCCACATGCCGAGTGCACTAGATCTCCACAATGATTTAAGATTGATGAAAGCCTGTCTTGCAGTCTTTACTTGTTGTTGATGTCGTTGTTGGTTAAGTATCTTCATCACTTCCTTCTTCTCTACATTTACTTGACGTCCCATCTTCGCTGCCTCACCTCTTCTATCAACTTGTTAATTTTCGCCTGTAGATCTTCGAGTTTGTGAGACATAAGAAGTTAGACATGAATCATCATCGTTGGCGAAATCCAAATCTTCTTGTGGGGTCTTTTCATCGATCCAGTGAGCGTATGCCCTTCTTCTCGCTCCTCACGGTTTGCTGCGTGATCAAGTCCACCACAATCAGGAAGATCATCAGTGATAGTAGGCGATAGTCTTGTCTTACTCCTGTCTTCACTTCACTTCAAAGGCGTCACCGAGTTTTCCATTGTGGATCACTTGTCATGTAGCACTATATGACATATAGCTGTTGAATAAGGTTGATAAAGATATGTGGCACTCCGTAGTGTTGAAGCAGTTGCCAAATTACTTCTCGGTCGACGCTGTCAAAGGTCTTTTCAAAGTGGGTAAAGTTGAGGTAGGGTACAAGTGACTGCCATTCTGTACTTTGTTCTATGATGATGCATAGCGTAGCGCCGCAATTCGATCCGCACATGATTTGTTCTTCCTGAACCAAGCCAGCCTATTTCAGTCGTGATTTTGAATCCAGAACATTGTTTAGTCTCTCCAGGATTATGCATCATAATATTTTGCTTGCTTTGTGTGGACATCAGCATGATTTCCGCCGCAACGACAGAATAAAAGTACCGAAAAACAATAACTGATACCCGTTTCACAAGAGGTGGCTGTTGTCTATTAGTAGTCTGGCGGATGACGCTCCGGAGTTTGAAGCGACAGTTACTGGGTTGAATGTCAGTGAGAACATTATCACTCAGTGGTGTGTAGGTACATCCAGCAATCGAAGTATATATTCGATGTTCCACTGTTTGTCACCAAGAAAATGTCAACCTGGTCTTATCATATTTGCTTCAATATTTATGCAGTTTTACAGGATAATTATTATCATGCCGTCTTGTGATAGTAATAATATTCAGGTCTTGTTAACGAATACACTTACCACTACGGCACCAACTGATGCCTGATGCATAAAATAGTTATGATTATGAGGATACAATAATTCAGTTGATGACTAGTACAGTACGCAAGACGTCGATCTTCCTTCGCAAGGCATATGTACAAGCATGAAGGAACTGACTTCCCTTGAATAATTCAAACCTGCTTCACGTAGTGTTGAAGTAACACAGGTTGAGACTGGCTACCCACCAGTGACCGATTTATGTACATAATCCAGTCGCACATTCTCTGTCGAATACCCAGGGGTTAGGAATCAGACTTTCGTAATATGATGCAGGTCTACATCTCCAAAGGAGGACAGATTTCTTCATGGTAGTGCCTGCATCCGGCTGACAAGTTTCAGAAAGTGCAAAGACTGGGTTCAAAGCTTTTTGGCTGGCTGAGTTTCAGCATCTAATACCAGAATGAAGTGCTTCACAGCATTGCATCACTCAGCTGACTGGCTTATTGCAAAACTTGATCGATAAACTTGGTTCAGCCTTAAACACTGAGGGGTAGACAAACGCATATGTTAGCCACTGGTGACCATTTTGTCTCCACCTCACACTGAACAATCATATTTCACTATAAATAAAGCAGAAAAAAAAGTAACTACCATTTTATACTGACTTACTAGAAATAAATGTATAAAATCGCCAATCTGTGTAAAACCTGATACGAATATCAAAGTTGAAATATAATTACTGTACAATTGAGAAGTATGCCCTTTTAACTTGCCATATATTTTTGTAGGCAACGTCTGAACTCCAAGTACAAATTCATCTTGTTTTGTATTTCTTGAGCTATCCATATATATAAATTGTAGGTAACCTTTTTCCTTTACATCTTCAGTGCTTATCTGGTCACCTTCAGATAAACTTGTAGAATCAAAGTAGAAATCATAAAGAAAGGTTGTTCCAGCTATTGAGGATCAAAAGAGAAATTAGGAAACATGAAATGAGTGGTACTGTTCATTATAGTCGATTGTAGAATAAGTGATGAGATCGTTATTACAATTTTTAAAGACAGGCTCGATCACAGACTAATTTTATTTGACTTAATTAAATAATCAAGTTCAAAGTAGAACCATAAATCACCGAGGCAATAACTATGTCCACTAACAATGGAATTGAAAGACCTGTTCGCGTTGAACTCCAAACGTTTCATCTGGTTATCAATGTTACAATACTAATTTAAATTGGCTGTGTAGTTCAAGGATGTGAGAGAGATTGCATCATCTTTATCTTGATTTTATTCTCTGATTGAGATAAACAGGCTAATTTCTTCAGAGTCGCTATAACCAGAAGTATAAGGTAAATTGAATTCCTTTAGAATTCAAAAATGGAGACTATTACGTTGAATCTTCTACCTATTTTGATTTTCTGTTGCCTTCGTTGACCGGCCACTTAAATATTCTTGCGTGTTTGTTAAATGTCAGTAGATGTAGACAGAGTAAAAAGCATTACTCTTGAATAACATATCAGATGGTAGGAAAAAATCTTTGAGATGCCCTGCCTCCAAATATTCAACATCAATCATAGTGTACTGTGATCTTGAGTAATCTAGCCTAAATATCACGTTGCAAAATGATTGATATAATTTGGCGTGCATGAAGGATTAGGTATTTTGAAAGTGGTTGCTCTTCAGTACTTGAACAACGCATTACATGTGCTAAGCTGCAAAATTTGACTATCTGAATGACAGTATCTAAATAATAAGTAGGCTTTTTAAAACATCTTCACTGGTTTTCCCTTCTATACTTTCCACTTAGTCAGGCATACTTATTAATATCTCATACAAATAGCAAGCAGACAAAAGTTGGTAGGAGGTTTTACTATTGTCTATCAGTGAAAGTGACGCACAAATAAAAGACTAAAACGGCTGATGATATCCTCGAGACTAAGATGAGAAACATATGTACCTTAAGCAATGTAGTCTATGCAAAATGTGTTACTTGAGATTGATAGCAAGAAATTTAATATATCTGGAGATCCCTTGACACATAACTGCGGCCGAAAATCAAGGACTTGCTGTTTTATTAGTGTGGCTTCGGTTGTTTTCAAATTGTTTCTCTGCACTAACAATCTTTTACTACAGTATATAATGGATGCTTTATATATAACACAGGCTAAGGTATAACCTTACAGCTTATGATTACTTGTAACATTTCTCTTTCTATTACCTTTATCGATGCTATTCAATAGAAGGAGAAATACAAAAGAAAAAAGTGGCCAGATGTGGCTTCATCGACTGAACTTCGTTATCTGATTAATTTCAAGTAAGTCTTTGAAGTGGTTAAATCACTGCAGAAGGAACTCAGTTTCTTCCGAATTTCGTAGCAAACATTTACCTTTCTTGTTCCACCAATTTAAGTATTCATGAAAGTGAGTATGGAGACTATCAGTCCTTGGGATATTCTCTTGAAGATATGAAAAGAAAAGTAATCTCTGAAAATTTTACAAAAAGTATTCGTAATTGGTTTTATGTAGTTGCTTGGCATGCCACTCACAATCAGACATTACTGTGAGTCTTGTAAGTTATTGAAAGGTAGTAAGTATATTTATGTTTTAAGAACTATTAGGTAATCCCATTTTTGTGTTCATAAGAAGTAACCAGGAGTTTTTTGGACCACTTTAACTTACAAAAGTCTCATTACTACTACTACTACTAATAATAATAATAATAATAATAACTCACTTTATTCCGAAACAATCTGTGGTACAATTCGGAATTCTCAGAGTAATATATATTGCAATAACAACAAAATATATCTGTATACACATACTGCTTTGCAGCCTTTTGAATTGTTTCATTATACAAATATTAAAAACGAGAAAATTTTACATTGTAAGTTAAATTATTGAAATGAGATTTTTAACTGTCACAAAGTTGATGCATGGCTTCTGTTCTAACACCCCTTTTTCCTCACAAAATATACGTGCAAGGTAAGGTACAGTCGAATTCTTATACTTAGCTGTATACTGTATACAGTCAGTCTTATGTAGTTTCTGCTTGTCCTCCCTATGAGGAGATACATGGAGAGAGCTGTAAATGAAGTGGATGCTCAATGTCAGTCAACATTTCTGTAGCTAGTAGCCTGCAGGAATTTATATATCGATCAACTACAATGTTAATCAGTTGATCCAGAGACACACCACTCACCTTGCTGACAGTCTTCAAAGCCCTATGCAACATAACATAGTCCTTTTTAAGAAGACCAGCAAAGATTAATGGGGAACAACAGAGGGGAGGAATAGGTAAAATGCAGGAATTAATAAATTGTAAAAGAAGCAGTTGAGTTATACCAGAAAGCCTCAATTTTTGAACGTAGTAAGTTAAACGAAAGATTTTTTTACAAGTCAATAAAATATGGGAAAACCAACAAAGGTCAGAAGTAAAACGCAACACAAGATAGTTCACACTTGATTTACTTCCTGCAGAAATACCACTGATGCAGCAGGTGTCATGAGATTTAAGCAGCTCACATAAGTCTTGTTTACGCCTGAGGCTAAAACTAACGGTCTGATATTTAGAGGGGTTTAGTTTGAGACCATTTGAGAGAGACCATTTACCAACTTCAGACAAGAATTCATTTAATTTCGAGCAACCCAAAGAAGAGTCTACTGGAATAGAAATCGTCAGGTCATCAGCATACTTGATAAAATTAGTTTCAACAGAATAAGGCAAATCGTGCATAAAAAGGAAAACAGAAAAGGAAAAAGTACAGCACCTTGAGGCACACCAGCTTCAATAAGCAATGAAGTGGAGCGCATTTCTTTTATGAATAGTGTACTGTTTCCTTTGAGAAAAATGAGAGTGCAGCTATTTTGTAAGCCATGGATCAGTGTGAGCTATGGCAAGCTTATTTAACACAAGTGGTCTAGGAACAGAGTCAAAGGGTGATGAGTAATCCAAAAAGGCACAATGAACATACTTAACACCTTTATCGAGACCAGAAACAATATTATGATGCAAGACAGCGGGAGCATCTAAAGCACTCCTCCGGTGTTTGTGAGCAAACTGTTTTGGATCTCTGAAGACCATCAATGAAGGCTCAATCACAAGGAGAAGTAATTTCACTTTTGTCTTCAGAAAAGGGGAAGTTATAGCGATAGGTCGAAAAGTAACATCTGATCTAGAAGATGGCTTAGACACAGGTACAATTTTTTTCTGCTTCCAAGCAGTAGGTATTATGTTTTTAGAGAAGGATACATTGAAGATATCTGTAAGTGGATGACACAAAATATCTACACATTTTCTAAATATGATACTAGAAACACCGTCAGGACCTAAGCTTTGGGAGGGATTCAAAGACTTTAGACATTTAAATACATCATTTGTATTGAAACCTGGAAAGCAGCTATCCACTTGATTTTGCACATTAGGAAGGTTGAAATCAGCTTGCCGACGTATAAATGACTTGTTTAAAGCGGAGACATCCCAACGAGTTTGTGTTATCATCTGTTTTTTACCAGTAAGCTCTTTAAATAATTTCCACACATTTAAAGAGTCCTTACACGATATGAACTTCTCGTTGTATATAGTATTCAGACGTTGTATTTCAGACTTAATTAGGCAGTTAAGCCTTTTAATACCAGGGTGATCTCTCGCCTTCTACAACCTTTCCTTTTTTCTCCGAAGCCTCTTGAGATTAGAAGAGGAAAGTCTGTCAAATCTCATGTAAATTGTTTCAGTAGGGCAGAAGATATCGAGACAGAATCTGAGATAGCTTGTGAATTGGTAATAGTGTTGTCTAAAACTTCATCAGCAAATATATCCCAGTCCGTTTCTATAAGCATGCTTCTCAAACGTAATATATTTTCCTGTGAATAGCATCTGTATTGAACTTTCCTTGAAAGGTATGCAAAAGCTTTCTTGTATAATTTTCCGTACACTTTAGGCAAAACAAGAATGAAACAGTGGTCGGAATTTAGCAGTGGAGCCCGTTTACGGGCTTCACATATGCCAGGTTCATTTGTAAATGCACAGTCTAAGGTGTTGTCAAGACGAGTGGAAAAGTTAACCATATTTTTATGACCCAATGATAATAGAAAACTGTAGTCAAATGAGTTAAAGTCACTACAGACAACAGACAAGGAGTTTTCCGGAACCGGAGTAGCGAATTCAGTGAATTTATCAGCAAAAGTTGGCAAATCTGAGAAACTGCAGTCAGGTATGACATACATGTTTATGATATATATGTATTTGTATTTGCTCAAATGTTTGGGACGACATTTGATGGTAATGCACTCAATTTTTTCGTTATAGAAGCAGAAGCATACATAGTTGGAGGACGACCAGTTAGTACTAATAAATGTTGCTACACCACATTTCTTCTTTGATTTGCTTCGATCTTGTCGAAATAATTTGAAACCATCTAAGCAGACTAAGTCATTATCATACAGATTATGAAGCCATGTTTCATGCAGCATTATTACACCCGTGTTTCGATAAACATTTGTGGACAAGAGTGACTGAAGGTAATCAACTTTATTCGGCAACGACCTGCAATTTGTGCTAAGTATTTCTGGAATAGTCATTTGATCCATGGTCATGCGCTTCAGAGCTCGTTGCCATCCACCGTGATGCTTCTTCTTAGATTTCCTATCAACTTGTGAAGCGATAGGTTGTAATGATTTTAAAAACGCGCGAGAATATACAATACGATTGGTTGACATAATTAAACGATTAAAACAATATAGAAATAAGAAATTTGGTGCATTAAACTCGATGATAGAAAATGGTAGCCCAGAGATCAAGCAGGCCACCAGAAAAGGTTTCATCTATAGGATTTCCCGTATCTAGTGTAAGCTAGGGCGATCAACGATAGAGGATTGATAAAACCATCTTTCTTCCCTCAACTCCCATTCATTAAACCATTTCAGAAACCTCAGTAGTCTTGATATGAACAATAGTTTATATCATGGGACTTTATCAAGTCGTCTTAGCCTTAAGGAAACTCCTATGATCCTATTACAAAGCTTTAATGTAGAACGGGTGCAGAACTGAATATTCATACCACATCAGTTGTATTCACTAGGGTGATCGCTAAAATCATCTGATTTGTAAATGCTTGTGAGTTATTGCTTGAACGATTGAACTTGTAAGCCATTCTACCAAATACTGATATGATTAATTAATCAGTAGTTTTGTTTTACAGTGAGAAAACTTATCCGCCTATCTCAGTAGACGCAGTAACTTCAAGGGTTAACCTAGCAACTGCAGAAATAACCTATCAAGTTTAGACATTTCGTCTGGATTGGAAGCCTTTTGAAAAACAAAGAAACGCAAGTTTCTTATTAGCACTTCCTTCATAGTTTATGTTAGGATATATATATATATATATATATATATATATATATATATATATATATATATATAAGGCATTTTGCTTAGGGAAATGAGTAATATGCCGGGGAATCATATGGTTACATATCGTAAACGACAACACAAGCATAACAATTAAGAAACGAAAGAAACCTTAACAAAAATGACCTCAAAAAGTGACCTAAAGGGGTTTCTGCTAGGTATCTGGCAGAGAAACACACCATGCGTGTTCCGTCTAACGTGGCACTCTTCAGCTGGGTGTACCTACACCCACTGATGGATATTGTTCCGACTGAAACTCACTTAAAATGACAAGGCATTATTCACTAGGCCATCTAATAGGAAATAACTGATCTGTTTTGAGATAACAGAGAATATTTGTTGCTCAGAAAGATGGTTTTGATGAAGTTGTGTTCTCTGTTAATAAGATACCTTAAAATACTCATTTCATAAGACAAAACATATAGCCTTCCGATGAGGATCTTACTTCTGATCACTTCTGCAAGTGTAATGGAATAGAGTTAACTCAGTACTTTGAAAAGCAAAAACGATGGGGATAATGATTTGAGTTTTTGATTACTAGGGATCTGTTCAACAACTTTATCAAATAAGACAACCTGTTCTATTATTTCCTATACAGCAATTTAAGCTTTGAAGTACATTTAAAAGGAATTTGGAGCCTTATTTAAGGACGCTTTTCATTGCAGATTAATCGCTGAAGACTGAAATTCTTAGTGAAATAATAATAATAATCCAAATCTCAGTTTTAATTGCAAAATGCTTACTGGAAGTCAGAGGATGGTGCAGTTGTCACTAAGTAAGTGTTTGTCTGTCATAGAAACTCCCGCTCAGTTGTCTCCATACTGCCCGCTTTTTCACTTTTGATATTAATAATCCAAGAGGGTTGACAGTGAAATACAGGACGCAAATTTCGTTCTACTTGGGACCCGGCAGCCGAGCATACCTATTACTCATTGCACTAGAAGTGGCCTATTAGATAACGCTGCGCTGTTCGAAGCTATCGGTTCTGGGTTCAAGTCTCAGCGAGGAAAAACATCAGTCACTGCGAAGCAGTTGCATACAGCTGATGAGTCCCGAATACGGTGGTATTCGCATCCTGAATTCCTCTGCTGGCCATAATTCATCAGTAATATCAGAGTCGATAATCTTTGGCTCTATTTCATATGGACTACCGATATGTTTTAAAACTGGACAAAAATCTGTCAACTTCTTTTTGTCCCTTAGTTGTATTCCGAATTATTTTAGTCTTTATGTTAAACGCAATTGAAAAATTTTTAATACCATAAAAACAACGAATTCTCAGAAAGTTATTTGTTTATATCCTGAAAAAAAGTCTTTTTTCGCCTAAGCAACTCATGGTTTTTATTTTTACAATGTCAGCATATTCATGCAACACTTGTCACGTCATATGTTTTCACTTTTATTTATGGTTACTTGAAAGTGATTTATCTAGGCAAGTCTAAACTTGCTATTACTTGAGCAACAGTAATAATTGCTTAGAAGATATGGCAACTTTGAGTATGCAAACGAACAACTCTCCGCTATTTTTCTTAAACATCAGAGACATTTTTATCGTCTATGGAACTTGATTGATTAATCTTTTGGTGTCCACTTTTAAACTGTGCTACTTTGTGAAGTACTTATGAATTTGGTTACTTTCCCCCCACCTTATTTGGTTGCATTTTGGTGCCTAACACAATGTTAGCCCACTTTTCACTTCATTTTTATGTATTCCAAACTTTCACATGAGCCTAGAGTCAGCAATGACTTCTGTGAAAACTAGTTGTTATCTAGGATATTCATGATTTGAACAAACGTTGATTACTCAGAATTGGCGTATGACGGAAACCATTCCTGAAAGTGTTGTCAGCACCGAACACGCGCTTATTAACTAACAAATTTGATCCTGAGCTAATAAGTAATTCTCAGGGAGATGAGTATAACTCTAGGAGAGAACTGTTTCGCTTCATATGTGCAATATATGGATTTTATGTTGGAATACTCACACATTATCTGAAGGAACTGTAGTTGAGATACACCTTGAACGTCCAGTTTTCCTTCAGCAATGAAATATACAGACAAAATGTTGTCATGGCCATTGGTTCACTATTGGGCCCCTTGCTTGACTAATTCTTCGTATCAAAGCCAGAGAACACACACAAGTAGAATGATTAATTTGTTCTAACTATTTAGGCGATACGTAGATGATACCTTAATCATCTCCAATAGTACGGATAGTAAAGAAGACATCCTGTCTCCGCTTCATGACTGTCACTTTTCATTGAGGTTCATGTTGAAGAAGGAACTTAATTCTACGATTTCTTTTTTAGAAATGCGGCCAAAAAGATGAGACAATGGATTGCCCGAAAGCTCTCTTCACAGAAAGAACCGCATGGTTGAGTGCCATAATGCATCAGATGAAACCTGATTTGTTCCACTTGTCATATCATCCACACTATCTGCGGTCCTGAAACTTTAGAAGATGAAATGAAATCCTTCAAAAATGCTTTGATTGAAAACCAGTATCCTCAAACAAACAAACAACCATTCCACTCCTACAGCTCCTAAGATGCCTCTTTTCATAAGCTTATAGTTACCAAGAGAGAAACATCAGCAGATATATTGGGCAACCGTCAACCATGCTCATTGAGAAAGACTTTCTATGTTGTCAGACTCAGGTTAACTTTCTTAACTTGCCCATTGCTTCGATTATACGTAAAGGATAAGCGAGCTGTCTTGAACACCTCGTTATGTGTTTGTCGATTAACCTGCTCCCATGGAGTAAGATGTATTGGGCGTACTCACCGTTCGCTTTTCAAATCCATTTCCAAACACATACCAACCTGATTCCACAAAGTAGAAACGAGAGCACTTCACAGTTCGATTTTAGAACATTCGATCGATTATGAACACCCAGTAAATGCAGAAAACAACTTCAATATCACCTATAGAGTTCGTGCAAACCACATGAAATATGTACGCCTATAACTTCTCCAAACTGCGGAAGCCATGGTAAATAATATATTGAAGCCTTAACTCTGTTTTTAAGCGAGATTTGTCTAGTGACTTAAGTTGGAATGGATATAACTTATAAGAACATTTCTACCTTCAAAAATCTTTTCATTCAGATCTCCTCACACATTATACTTCTCCAACCCTGTAGTTCTGACTTTTCTTTAGATTTATCATTTCACATCATTTAACTTAGCAACGAAATATTAGTTTTAGTCACGATGAGTCTTCTTCTCATTACAACTTCAAACATTTCATAAGTCTTCTTTCCTATCTCCTGATTTAAAATCAACTCTCAACTTCGTTCAAAATGTTTAATGAGCATTAACTCTCTTGTCACTGTGTGAATAGAATATTTATATGTTAGTTGAATGGGGACAGGAAGCTTTACACTAAGGTTTTGCACTTGTCGGCACTCATCAGTAAGACGTATCTACAACCACGACATAACCGATGTCCGTATAAGTTCCAACCTTTTGTCACCCAGTGTTTTAGTCAGCTGACAGGTATACGGAACCTAGGTTCACAGCTTCTTGGCAATCGCATCCAGCCAACTAAAATCTATCAAAGTTCGTCGTGATGTTGAACTGCCTAGTCTGGTGGCCATATTGCAAAGTGATCGGCAGATTTCGGTCAACGCATAGGACTAGACAACATGAAGTCAGTCACCCTTCGGTGACCAGTCAAAATATTTATATGCGATTGTGCAGCTTGAGAGTAATATCTGTGAAAAAAGTGACTCTTCGCTAAATGTCTTTTGTTTCATATATCTTACACTAGTGAATATACAAGCAGGTAATTGAATGCTTCCTGACTCAGTAAACAGTTATCACATCGTTTGAAACTTATATAAGAGTATTCAGATCTACTCTAAGAAATATAAATGAAAATAAGAGGGAAACATATATTAAAAAAGTTTTATAAGCACTTCTTTGCTAACCTGTCGTACATCGGTCTCCTTCAAATGAAGTTAGTTCACAAGCACATTTTATTGTGTTCCATGTTTGCAAACAAATTCCATCATTCAAGCAATATGGTTGAAATTCATGCGAATTTATAGCATAAATTGTTTCAAGTTCTTTGGTAGACTGATGTTTTTCAGTTCCTTGAAAATTATTACATTGAAGTGCACCTTTTGGACGTTCCAAACATTCATCAAGAATTTGATCGTAACACACGGGAATCGTCCAGTTATTGAAATACCTAGACTTAGTTATATTCAGTAAATCAATATTGTTTTGTCCATTTATAGAAAAATTCCCAAAGCATCCCTAATAGTGAGAAATAATTATACAGATCTTTATAGATTGGGTAATGTGCTATGAAAGTTTTTCAATGGAAAAATGCAGTAAATATTGACTACCATGCTTACGCGTTCGAGGTATAACATAGTAGTGGGACAATAAAGACCTACCTGTAATAAAAGCTAGAATACTAAATAATGTGAAGTCTTTCCTAATTTACCCATCAGTCGTTCATAGTTCCATGACGATCTACATTAGTCAAAGCCAAAGAAACCACTAAACTGATCCATTTCCATATGATTCACAAACATTACGATCTACGTTGGTATTTCTCACAAGTGAACAGTTTTTCAACTGTGTTGTTTGTGTTGTCGACAGAGTTTCAACTAGAAGACACCCCTCAGCTAAGAATAAAAGGTGTCATCTCTGACACAACATTGTCATGAACTAGTGAAGTATACTACTAAACAACTCAGGCTGACCCCTTGATTTCGCCAGTCACATTACAGCGATCTAGGTAGTGAATGATCATTTCGAGAACTGTCAATATGGACTATGCAACTTGTGAATCATATTCTAGGTATACCAATCCATATCAGCCAAACATTTAGATTCAGGTGATCTGAACTAATTTAGCAAAATGATCCGAGTTTTTATGGGTATACCAATGGAGAGGTCAGTCCTAGAAGGGCAGAACTGTTATCCGACGTTGAGAATAAACGATACTTCAGCAAGAGATAGGCTTATAAATGCACAGAACTACTTTACATTACTATTCCTTGGATCACTGTGTTGAATTGCAGATTTCGGTAGTTGTTGAATTAAATACCATCACCGAAACTAAACTTGGTATTCTATCCATCTGCCAGTACAAACCAGATTCTAGTGTAATACTGAGTGCTTGTTTCATATTTTGACTTTTACTACTGTTATTATTGACAGTATAGATATTGTACATTGAATGCATTTGTTGAACTTTCACATACTCAGAATTCCAAACTGCACCAAAAGTCTTATTTAGAATGGTTGAATAGTTGATGAAATCTACAGATCAGGGTGTGTTTCTTAGCTTCTCTAGTTGTTCACCAGTATGCACAGAAACGTTTAGCTTACATCTGTAAATTAAGTCCTGGATAAGATACTGACACTGATTATAGACTAGAAATGAGCATTTTTCTGATTAAACGTAAAAGCTTACATGGAATTCTAAAGACAAAGGCTGTACATAATATCCAAATTTGTGTGAATATGCCCCGTACTAAGTGGAAGATAGGGTCGCTTTGTGTGTGAATGTACGTTACATAGGTATGTAGATAATTGAATGCATTTGCTTACTGTAAATGAGTGAACCATATTATGAATGAAACCTTAAGATTATATACTTGTTAATCACTTTTTTTGTAGTTAAATGTGTACTTTAATCAATAAACTAGGATAGTATTAACTTGTAAAACAATCCATTGCATAACCATTTAAACAAGTCTTCATTCTACAGTGTTCGAGAAGATCTTTTGCTACGGTTTTGCATTGAAGTTCTTCATTCTTCCATGGTTACAATGAGTGAAATAGCTGAGGCGTGATCTTTTTTGTATTATGTTCTCAAAACTGGATTGTTGAATCGTAGTGCTTTCATCGTCTTTATAGACGACATCATCAGCGCTAACTTCAGTATGAAATGAGCTGCCGTTATCTTTCCATAAGTGAATCATTAGCTTGTTATGACGAGCTAGTTTGTGATTGATACCTTCCTTTGATTGTTGTGTGATTGATTGTATAGACTTTCTTTTGTGTCCTTCCTCTACTTGACCTTTGCACCTTCTGTTGTTTACCATTTTTCTCATTGGTTGATAGATTATCTCTATGTTTATACATCTGTTGGTTACTGACTGGCCTACCAAGCCTCTAGAAATTCCCTTATATTCTTTGTTTCCTCTTTTCAAAATTTCTACATTGTCAAAATTGAATTTCTGTCCATAGTTATCTATGTGCATTGAAATCAACGATGAAATATCGTATAATTTAATAGACTGTTGGTGTTCATGTAAGAGAAAGTGAACAGTGTGACTACTTTTTGCAATGTATTTTCCAATTCTTACAGTTGATCTTGTAAATAATATTCGGTTTGTCTTCTTTGGTTTGTTGATGATATAGTCTAGGATGATGATGAAAGCTACATGATGAAACAACCTAACTCAGAGAACACAATACAACCATGAAGTATAAACGTTTAGAGATATTATACATATACATTCCCTAGCTAATATTCTTTACTTTAAGTCAGTTTCAAGCCACCATATTCATATATGAATAATTACCTGCTCATAATGAAGTTATGATTGTTCACCACAAATTATCTTGGAGTTATCTTGAAGTTAATACTCATGAACTTTCATTTTAAGAACGATAATCAACCCGAAAGTATTACAAGTAGGTTTCAACGTTTATTGACGAAGATGTTTCCTACAGTTGCTCTGAGATCGACTTTCTACAGTAAACATTTCTTACCACCATGTCAAAAAGGCAGGATTTCTCATATGTTCATAAATCCAACTACACTAATGGAGTCAGCTATTTAGGACAAATTATGAGGAACTTTTCTCGATGTGCGAATAAATATCTCCTGCTGTTCCTATTATAAAGAAAGTTAAGAGTTTTATCCTTCCATCTTAACGAATCTAGTTACAGTGTTGATAGTAAGTTTGTTTATTAATTATCTACAATTAGTATGAATTTATCTCCTTTAAACCGCTAATGCTACTGTAAAAAGAATCTTGACAACCGATCTTTGTGTGCACAAACATCCTAAAGATTCTATTATTTCTCTGCGGCCATCCGTAAAGACAAAGCCTACATTATTCAGATATACTCAATGACACAAACAACGTGTAAATATTCTACACTAAGTGGATTTAGAGGTTTTCACTTTGCTATCTAACATTTCGATTTATTTTATGCTTTCCTTTTTCTAATGACCTAAAATCCTATCTATTCGCAATTAATAATTGGAACAGAGACATATTTTCGTTGTATCCTCTGAGCTGAATTGTTGGATCTTGAAGCTTTCAATATCATTCTAGACAAAAAAAATCAACCTAACACTTAGAAAGAAGTGAGTTATGGAATTCTTTCCACTGGCTTCTTCCGATGACCTTGAATATGATTGGTCGTTTCCGTTGTTATATTGTCATTGTCTTCATATGTATTTCGATTGGTTGTCCTGCTGACGCAAAATTGGACCTTTTTATTTCTTCTTATTGGTTGTTAGTTTGGATCAGCATCAATGTGTCTGCTGAAAGCTGACTGATCTGAACGTCAAACTTCGCGAAATTCCCTGGCATTCTTTGTATTCCCTCTATCCAGGATCGCCGGATTTTGCAGTCGTATTCATATCTACAATTGTCTGTTTACAGTGGTATGTGCAAAGATATATCATGACATGTCACTGCTACTTGATATTCATACAGACGTATGAGGAGAGGGCGAACACTCTATTTAATCACACACAAGGCTATCAGGATAAGATACAAGCAACTTGTGGCGATAACCCTCTTGCTCATTTGTTCCAGATGTTTGTGTTGATCATATTGTCTAGAATGAGAATGAAAAACCAAACAGCTCAGAGAACACAACATCAAAACTATCTTCCTCAGCCAAAAATATTCTTCATCGTCTTAAAATACTCGATTTTTGCTTAATTCTTACCATAAAATGTTATTAGTTGGTGGAAGCCACTGGACAGAAAAACCTCCTTCACCTAGATTTTTCGCTTCTTGGCAGTAATCAGCATTTTGAATCGCCAACCTTGAGAGGTAGAGCCTGATGACACGTTAATGAAAATGTGTGTTTGTCCAAACTTTGGTGGTGAACTGGATCTTGCAACAAACTGTGAGGAGCAAGAAGATGGGCATACGCTGTTTGACCGATGAAAAGAACCTAGAAGATATGGATTTCACCGATGATGCTTCATGTCTAATTTTTTGTCACACAAAATCGAAGATCTACTGGGAAAAAGCCAACGACATGACAGAACAGGCGGCGAAGACGGGACTTCCTTCAGGTGAACGTAGCGAAGACAGAGGTGATGCCGGTACTCAACCAACAACAACAAGTACCAATCACCATGAACGGGAGAAATCTCAACGAAGTCGTCTATTTCACCGATTTAGGCAAACCAACATCGCTTCAAATACAGGCGGCACAGATGAGGATTTCAAAACCAGAATTGGAAAGACAGAAGACAGGCCTTCCTACATTAATCTGAAATCACTGCGGGAATCTATTGCACTCAACATAAAGCGTGAACGAGATCCGGATTTTCAACACCAATGTCGATCAAGTCAGTGCTTCTATATGGTGGTTCAGAAACTTGGCGCGTCATGAAAATCATTTCCAACAAACTACAGACATTCATCAACAGGCGCCGCCTACGCTCACTCGATATTGAAGATGGAGATCAGATGACCAGAAAGAATAAGCAGGAAGAAACTCTGGCTGGCTACAAACTAACCAATAACTCATCTCCCAACAAATCTGCAGAAAAAGTGGAGATATATTTGATGGGACACACACTGGGAAGACGGTTTGGGGACATCATGCGCTGCATCAGGCCATTGGGTGGAACGTGCATGGGAAAGGACGAGTTTGGCCTGTGAGGGTGACATGGAAGAGATGGTGTGAGGAAGGAATGAAAGCTTATGCGAAGTGGTGGAGCCAGGTTTAAAAGACTACAGAAAAGAGAGTGAAATGTTCGACTAGGAACCCAAGGGAGAAATAACAATAATAATAACTGCCGTAAGTACATATATATTTACTATGAAAGAGCCTCAACAAAAATAAACAAAGTAGGATTACCTGAAAACCATGAAATGAACTGATTTTTTCTCTCCATTTCAGAAAGACGGGTTGTGGTGTTCCACCAATATACAGAGGATCATTCAAATTGAAGTTTCTAGCACTGTCACCGTGAATGACTGATATATTTAAAGATTGTTCAAGTATAGTGTTCCGATCCATGTACAGTTGAAGAATATTATTATCAAGATCCATTCTTCAAGACAAAGGGTTGTAACAGAAAATAAATTAAGGAATAAAAATACCATATATAGAACTCAGTGAATAAAATCTACTTTTATCACTTCTCAATATTTCTTTCTGACATCTAATTGTAAGTAATGGGTTACTAGGGAGAAAATACATGCTCTGAGGTTGCCAAGGCAAGTCTATAACTAATCTGTATGAGATACACTTAAGTTTATCGATTCCGTATTAAATGAAAGCGTTTTGGGTTATGTGATGTTGCCATCTGATGTAACCTCATTACTCACAACTGTTCCGCTAACCGAAATAGTTTGTTTTTTACATGTCTGAATTGACTCCAGTGCACCTGATATCGGCAAATTAACCAAGTATCTGAAAGAAATACTCTCAAGATGCATATCTGATGTATAGTTCAGTTTCAACTGAACCTTCTACTACCAGAGTAGACCGGATGGAAATGAAGTCATATCTGAGTAAACTGCTAGCAGATATATTTTTGGTCAAACTGGAAACATTTATACTCAAAGCACTTATCAGGCAGTTTAAATTCTACAGAAGATGATGAGCCGAATGTTTGTGATAAAAATTGTGAGTTTCAGAAGGCACCTTAATTATCCTATGAGTTTCATTCCACCATCAACACTTTTTACGGAGATGAAATGGTACTCCTTGACGTGTTGCTAACAAGAAGGGACAACTAGAGGCTCAAGAGATCAATTTAACGTAAATCAATGTGAAACGAACAAGTGATAAACGTTAATAGCTGTGATCCTATCAGTTGAAAAAGAAATATAATTTATTCCCTTTCCTCTCAAGTCCCAAAGATCTGTACTCCCAACTACTTCAGAAGATGAAATTCAACTTTTAAACTAAGCGTACATCAAAAATGGATACTCAGAGAGACTCATGGATAAAAGTTTACATCAGAATGCTACTCACCAGCGTCTTACCAATGTGTAGAAGAATAAGATAACTCTGGACTTGGAACTTAATGTAGCTGCAGCAAATAAGATGCCGAAACGCAAACTTATGAAGGCTGTCAAAAGAACATTTTATGCCGTCACACTGCAAATCATCTATATACCAGTAGTTCAGTGGTAAACACGTGTACTAAGAGAAACTGCCACTAGTAGTCATTATGATGTGCAGCTTTTAATCCACCTGCCCTTGTAAAGTTAGATGTATAGGATGTGAGCAGAGGCACGTTGTTCAACGTTGATGCCAACACCTTCCAGCGTGGTTCAGTAAAGGTCAATGAAGAGCAATTAGTAACTCCCATTAAGGCAATTAATTGGCACTGGACACACAATTTCAGAAGATTCTTTCATTAGTCTATAACGTTCAACGTAATCTCATGAAGGTTGCGAAGAATCGTTTATTTATATAGATGTAAAACTTGGGCACTGTGGTACAAAGGAATTCCATATTCGATTTGCTTTATTGATTTATAACACACACAGTGATCTAGTATTATTTAATTGATGACCACGTTCCAAGCATTAATCATCATTCCTCATTATCATATCAGTGCAAAATCACACCACTTCCGACATTTCATTTTCATAGTTATGTCACTTTGTATGAGTTGTTTCACTGGTAGCAAAATTTTCCATTTCTCTGGTATACGTATCGCGTCATGTCTATTACATGTGTTGACTGTTGGTTGATTCGATGAAGAAAGATTCAGTAATCAACCTCTCTCTCAATCTCCATCTAATTATGTGGGACTTAAGTAGAATGGCTTAATCCCGCCCTATTGTGTGGTTGTGTGTTAATGCATCTATTGGAATATCCGAGCTCTTTTTTCTAGATTATTGATCTTCTTCAGGGCTGTTATTCTATATTTAGATAAATTCCTATGTTCAGCTATTCTAAGTGACCCCGACCGACTAGTTTGACCTATATACTTAACCTCCAACAGGTATCTAGATTTCAAATCATCCCATCCAATATCAGTTAAGGCAGGATTAGTCAAATGTCTAAATGAAAGAGCCAGAAAACTGACCTGTCCCTGCCAGAACTTAAACAAGGAATTGAAACAAGTAAAAGAAACCATAATATCTAACAATTTTCCTCCTCAGTTTATTAAGAAATTCTGATGGATACACAAAAAGAGGAAAAAATAACAATCAAACGAGTGCAACTGATAAACAACACTAGTGGGAAGAAGTTCACAGCCTCCATTGTATTACCCTATTAGGAAGGTACCTCACAAACTTTACGTAGAATTCTCAGCAAAGCTGGAATTTGGGTGCCATTTTAACCTACAAACTTTGTCGGCTGGCGTAAGGATCCAATAGAACCAATTCAGTAAAATAACAATGTAATCTATCAAATTCCATGTAATGACTACGCGGTCAAGTATATAGATCAAACTAGTCAGTCGTGGTCAGTTGGATGCATTAACACACAACCACACAATAGGGTGGGATTAAGCCATTCTACTTAAGTCCCACATAATTAGATGGAGATTGAGAGAGAGGTTGATTACTGAATCTTTCTTCATCGAATCAACCAATAGTCAACACATGTAATAGACATGACGCGAACATACCAGAGAAATGGAAACTTTTGCTACCAGTGAAACAACTCATATAAAGTGACATAAGTGTGAAAATGAAATGTCGGAAGTAGTGTGATTATGCACTGATATGATAATGGGGAATGATGATTAATGCTTGGAACGTGGTCATCAATTAAATAATACCAGATCACTGTGTGTGTTATAAATCAATAAAGCAAATCGAATATGGAATTAATAATCGTTTATCTCAAATCACTTACAACTCCAGCATTACAACAACAGAAATCAGAACTGTGTATTGAGAAACGATTAAAATTTTCAGTTCTCTTTTATTTGTATAGTGTTATTGATTTCGTAAACAATTTCTGTTTAGGTCAGTTACAAGATTTCGCTTCACTTGCTAACTAATAACTACCTAATCATTTTGTTAAAAATTCATTACTTCCTGATTTCAACTCATATCTATTCAAGTGGTTAAGTACTTGTATGTTTTTGAAATAATGGAGAATATTTTTAGCTCAGGTGGATGGTCTTGGTTGTATTGTGTTCTCTGAGCTGGGTTGTTTAATTATGATGCTTTCATCGTCTTGCTAGACAGCGACATCATCAGCACTAACTTAAGTATGAAGAGAGCTGTCAATATCTCTCCGTGAGTGATTTAGTGGCTTGCTGTGACGATGTGGTCTATGATTGGTTACTTAGTGCTGATGATATCGTCTAGCAAGGCGATGAAAGCTTCACAATTATACAACCGAGCTCAGGAACACAATACAACCAAAACTTTCATGTGTCTTATGTAATTTCATATTCCTGTATTATTTTAATAGTCACAAACAACTAATCATTACTGTTTAATAAAAAATGTGCATTTTTATGTGAACTAATCGCATTCAGATGTGATTATTCAGTTGTAGAGGATGACATCAAGCGGAAAAAAAATTCATTCGCTAAACTGTTTTTACTTCTTATGAACCTGTCCTTCATGAAGCGTCATTGAAGTAATTCAAGATTTCTATTTAGCATTGTTATTGCTGAAGAATTCAAAGAGCAACTGAATGGTTGGGACTTTAGTTAGACCTCAGAGCGCGAATATCTAACTAACTTCAACGTTGATATATCGAGTAACATAAGGAGTTCAGAGATACACTAGGTCATAGTTTTGCATGCAAATACACTCAACCATACAGCAGGATGGAACAGTTTCATAATCTTTAAAATCAATTTAGTGGGATAGAGGGAAAAATTGATAACTGAAAACATGCTGGAGAAAGGACCCAGTCACTGGTTAGGGTGAGAAGATTTAAACAATGTTAACCATGTTTGAATTTTGTAGAGTACTCACTGCGTGACGCATCTAAAAAGCCAACCGAAATTCAATTTTCTTGTTACATTTTATTGTTACTAAGATATTTACCTTTCTGATTTGCAATTAAGCTCGATTGTGTTGAACTATGGTAAGATGGCTTACTTTCAAACAAGTTGCTAAACTATTATATAAATAGATTTTAATGTTGCCAGGCGACTGGTTTTTTTATCATAATAAATCAGACAGGTTAGCAAAGTTTCAATTGACGATGAATTGTGACTAACAGAAATCTAAATGGTATTCAATTTGAAATAAGTAGAACTACTAAAAAAGACCTTTAAATTATGCCTCGTTGTTATTTTCTTATAGGCTTGAGGCAGCCAGACTAAAACATGGCATCAGTGTATAGAGTCATTTACTATTGGCTTGAGTTACATGAGGCTATGCAGACTAGCCGCTTGAAGTCCGCGGAAGAAGAGAAATCAGTGGCTGGAGACTGACTCTAGTTGATATGGCTCAGAAGCGATGTGAGTAGAGCTAATGTATACACACATTATCCTCATCTTAAAGCTTTATTGAATTTCACCATTTTCTCATTCTTCCCTTCTCTCTTTTAGTACTTTACATTTCTTTTGATTGAATTTTTCCTTCTTCATCTTCCACTTAATTGCCTTTTTACTTGATGTACTGATATAAGATATGGCAACTCGGATCATTACACAGTAATGCCTGGTCCTATGTTGATTTGGATAATAGATGAATGAGATATAATCGATAATATAAATCTTGTCCCTATTTGAGCTATTTTACTCAATTATAACATTTGTTCAAGCAAATATTTCGCACAGCCATCCATGGTAGCAGTTTTCCATTAAAGTTTCTTTAGCAGCTTCAAGTGCTTACTATCCGACAAAGTAACAATCTGTTAATTGTTGTATGTACTAAAAAGATATTGAGTTAAGTAAATACCTGTAAAACTTACCTTAGTAATTCTACACAATGCCATTTTAAGTCTGTAACAGTATATTTAACAAGAGCATTGCGTTGGGCTCCACTTCCCATATCAAACACAAAATGTAAATAACCTTTTATTAACTCAAATGCTAAAAAGTCAACACCTTGTTTGCCTGAATTAAACAATAATAAACCATGTTCTTGAGATGTTTTAAATGAAAATTGTAAGTGAAACATTTCATAGAGATGCATTGTTTGACTATGTAAGTAACAGTCTGCTTGTTTAAATGTAATAGAATAAAAATTTTGTGTTCTGTATACAGATCGATCTGTTCCCATTACAGATAGTGATAAAGATTGGAAATCATTTCTATGATACTTTGGAGTTCTACGTTTGCGTACCATTTTTATTGTATGTAAATAATCCCATTGAAATTCACTTGATTTATTTGTTTTCCTACCTTGTTAAAAAAAAAAATTAATCTTAGTGGAACAAACAGAATTGGAAATATATCATAAACATCAAATTATTCAACATATGTTCTTCTTAGACTATGCACCCTTATATATTAAAATTTATTATCAAAGGATTACTAGGGACTGAATAAAAATTACGCTTTGAAAAGTGATTTTACCGTAGACTGCTATCCATATCATACTTACAGTTATACCTCTACGATATCTCAATGCTCCATATAGTACAAGTTGAAGATTGCATCGTTTATTCCTCTTTGAGATGACAGGAAACATGTTGTAAGGAAAACGCTTTACTGGAATTTTATATTTTATAAAAGTTGATATCTATGATGTAACAAGGTCTTCATGTGTTTTAAGAGAGCTGAAAATTAGAATTTTTAAGTGAACAATATTATTCTTAACACAGTATCCTCAGCTCAAAGAACAAGATCCGGATATTCAACACCAATACAGTCAACTCAGTGTTCCTATATGGTCAAGAAAATTTGCACGTCACAAAAATCATTTACAACAAACTACAGACATTCATCAACAGACGCCACATACACTCAATACTAAAGATCAGATGGTCAGAATACTTAGAATAAGCAACAAGGAACTCTTCTGGCTGGTTGGCAATGAACCAACCAGGAAACTATCACGTCACAAATATGCAGAGGAAAGTGGAGATGGATTGGGCATTCACTGAGATGACCAAGTGGGGACATGACGTGCCACACCAGGTCAGGCCATCGAGGGGATTCCAAATGAGAAACGACTAGTTGGGCGTCTGTTGTGAGGGTGACATGGAGGAGATTTTGCGAGTAAACAATGGAAGCTTCTGGTCAGTGGTTGAGCTAGTTTGAAAAGACCGGAGAGGAGAGTGTAATGGAGACGTGCTAGTGAATCCCTATGTTCCACTAGGAACCCAAGGGTAAAATAATAATCATAATAATAGTACCCTCACACTGCGCTCTAATACACATATATGTGAAGCAAGTAACCGGTCGTAATGAATTCTTTGGTCACTGTAAACAAGGCAGTTTAGTATGCTATGCGTGTGAAAAATAATCATATAATAATAATAATGATCGATAATGGGTAATAACTTAGAATGAAATGAAAACTGAGATCGCAGCAGGATTTGGATCAATCCATTTGATGTCTAACCAAGTGAGGAAAACTAAGACTTGGTTCCCAGCTGGTTCCCAGCATATTAAGCAGAGTACAGAGGAAGTAGTCTAGACGCCAACAGTACAAACATTGTCGTGACTCAGGTCTTCAGTTCACTTTCAGTCATCACCTAGTATCAACCATCATTATTATTATCATCTAGTTAGTTTCTATTTAAATACAATGATGTTTTGTTAACATATTTATTAGAGTAGTTCCTGAGGACAGTTAATTGAAAATAGTACTTAAAGGTTTTCAACCTTCTTCTGACTCATGTGAATCCATGATGAATACAAACCTGAAATCCATAAATAAATCCCTATAAACCTCACAATTGATTTACCATCCAATGCTCACTAGCACCTTGCTTTGAGAAGAGATTCCCCGAAGTTCTGAGAAATCATCACCAGGAGGATAATCAAGTCTTACAAGGGGATAAGTAACCAACAGTGTCAACGGATATAAACGTCGCAATATATAGCAAAGTTGCTGACTGTGAAAGCTGAAGTCCATGAATTTGATCCCTTGTTGAGTTAGGAGTGTGCACTACTGAAAAGTCACACTTTAGGGTGAAACATCTGTCTATTACTCCCAGATTTTCAATGGTTCTCAAAATTAATTTCACTTCATAACCAATGCCAGTTTAAAAAAATATTTCACTTTTACATGATGATAGCCAGAGTAATTTGAGATTAGCGACTAGTAGTTAAGGGATTTTGAAGAAACACCTAGAGAAATCGATATTTTTGAGATGAATAGGGATTTTTAACTTAGAAGTAGTATTCACTGAACTCCAACTAAGTGGCTGTATTGTCAACGCGTTCGCCGTGAAACCTGAAGGTCCTGAGTTCGATCCCTAGCCGGGTCGTAGGTGCGTACTGCTGAGCAGTCCTATACTAGGACGAAACAGATGTCCAGTGCTCCCAGATTTTCAATGGTTCGCCAAATGATGTCTGTCTGTAATGAATACTACCTCTAAATCGACATTTACTTTATAAGAGGAGTGAACAACGTGAACGTCATGCTTCAATATATGTATACAACGAAAATAACTAAGGGTTTTTGTATACGCGTATAAATAAAGCATATATTTTAAGAACTATTATAAAGACATTCATTGAAAAAAAGTATTCATTTTGTAAAATTCTGATAAATCTTTACATAATACATGAAGATATGATTTTGTTCCATGTGGTTAATATGCCAGGATAAATTTTTGAATCAATCCTTGTTAGATAGTTGTGTCCGACTGTCATAAATTCACAATGTACAGCCTAGTTCACCTTTTTTTAATCAAACAAAAATGTCATTCATTGATTGACTAAGGTTCGATTCATAGTTACCTAGGAAGAATATTTTATTTTCATGTATTAATTGGTCACGGGAGTGCAACCAATTTCATGTTGTCTAGTTCTAAGTGCAGACCGAATCCTATCGATCATATATGCAATGTGCCAACCAAGCTAGAAAGCTTAGCATCGCGGTGCACATTAGTAGATGTTACTTGGTTGAAGGCAATCATCAGGAAGCCGTGGACCTAGGTTTCATGGTTTTTCGCACTCATCAGCAAGGCGTATCTGCAACCTCGACGGAACTGATGTCGCGCCTGAGATTCGCACTCGCGTCACCCACTGTTGTAGTCAGCGACTTCACCACTGAGCTATTTGAGCTGCCATTTTCATCATGAATAAATACTTAACCATATTTAAAGATATAACTCATAAATTTAAGATAATTGGATAGCTGCTTCGTATTAGTATAGGACTGCCTAGCATTGGACACTCAAGATCTTGCAACGGGTCCTACCTAGAACATACATATCTCACAGTGAACACACTACCGCTAAGCCACTGGTGTGGAGTTCTTGGCAAACATTTTCTTATTCCTATTCAATCATGCAATGATACTGACAAGTATTTCTCCCCTGAACCTGACTTCCTTGGCTTCCCGTCAGAACTGCAAGAAATTCATACTGAGAAGAAATATTTGTACGGTACCCTGAAGTTGTCAATAGTCGTTCAAATGTTATCATCGCGTGATGAATACAAACTGGAAAAAGGACACTGCCCACAAACTTCCAAGTTGAATCCCTCCATATCGTTAACCTTTCTGCAGATTTCACTGACAAAAACTTAGGTAATAGAAGAGTTGTGCACTTTTACATTCATCTTAGGAGACTTGCACTGGAATACACAATGGCCGTTTCTTCCTAGTTTCCTGGATGTATCTGGATGTTAGTGAGTGATATTGGTTTCAATGAAACACGAACCCAGTACCAATCGCTTCAAACACAAAGGCGTTATCCACTAAGACACGGCAGCCACCTTTTATGCAACCGATATCAGCTATTGTTTTGATACCTGTAGGTATCGTGGCCTAGTAGATAACGATTTGGCTTTTGAAGCGATGGGTACTATGTTCAAATCTCAGTGCAGGTACATCAGACTGACAAGTTCCACATAGGACTTCACTACTTGTCAGTAAGATAGATACAACTTCATGGATATCTAGCAGTACAGAGGCGTTCGTATAAAGTCTCATCTGCCAACAGAGGTTCGTCTTTATTTTTCGCAGTCCTATATGTTAATTATTCTGCCTTTGTATCATCTATTATACAACTGATAGTATTTAAACGTAGTGTGTTAATTCGGACCTCAAGTGTGCACGAAGTTCATGTGTAACAGAAATAGTCACTAATGGGTAACCGTTATAATTTTCCAGTCCCGAGTGCTGAGCAATAATCAAAGTATATCTAACAAGTTTTACAAAGCGGCTACTAAGCGAATTCATACAACACTACTGTACAGTTGGGAGAGTTGGTTGATGGGTAGTGTTTCAACACGTTAAGTTTCAAACACTCCATTCCCTCTTACATGTACATGTTGGTCCAAATAAAGGAGTTGATTTTTTATCTGAAAGAAATCTACAAAACGTTAATCCAGCAACCAAAAAAACTGGTTCCGCCATATTTACTTGTTTGTCTTGATGTTTTTGCAGAAGTTTTCAAGGTATCTCGAGGCAAATTACAATTTTTGTGGAAGCATTTGTCCTTAGGATATTTAACTGTTAATTTGTTTGTTTTGTGATCTTAAGTCGAACATAATGGATACTTTTTTTTGAAGATCACCATTTCAAATATTTCATAAGAAATGAAAAATGTTTAGAGTTGTTCCTTCAGTGACAAATATTCTTCCTATGTGAGTTTGATAAAGCAACATTGGTTATAGTACTACTGAACCACCTGAAATGTTAGAAATCGGTCAGGCTGTTCTATAGATTTCATCAAGGGGAGGCTTAAATGAGCAAAATAGCTATTTAGTATTTAGATCACTCAGATTTAGCTAGTTGACAAATCAGCTTGAGTGCTTTCTGACTGCTGAAGGTGTTGAGTAATACACTTCTTGAATTCATGGTACTTTTCTGTCAGAGTTCATGTCTTATGATCTTGACTGCCGGGAAGTTCCCAACGGAATCCTGTTTACACCACAGTAGAATACTTGGAAAACTACATGGCTTAGAAATGTCAACGTAGACGGTGCAAAATGACCACCCTATTCCAGTAATGTAGTTACTGAAATACTTTTCATAAGATATCATTGCAATTTTAAATAGCCATATTGCTAAGAGCACTTTTATAAACGCAGAATGAATTGAAATTTTCCGTGTTACATTTCTGAGTTCTTAGCTCTGACCATTTATACGATCAAGCTTTACAAAGCCTTTAAACAGACTTCTGTCTTGATTTCGGCGAATCTCTTAGGACTGGAGAAAATAAAGACGCACCTATATTTTAGGGAAAGTCATTGAAATTAATCTTAGGTCCTAATTTGTTCTCATTTGTTCCGTATGGAACAATATTTAGAAAAAAGTTGGCTTGCTTAAACCATGGGCTACCAAAAAACTTTTCATCAATTACATTCCATCAAATACTTTGCTTTCAGTTTGTTTTAATCTTTTAAATGGCTTCTGAATGCATCACATACTGTCGCATATTTTTAAAATGTTTTCAAACTTTCTTTTCTCAAGTTAGAAAAAAATTAAGTAAAAACATTCCGTCGGTTGGAAGTGGATTTGTAGATACTCAAAAGACACACATTACTACTTCTAGGTACGGATTTTCAACACCAACGTCAAGTCAGTGCTTCCATGTGGTGGCTCAGAGACTTGGAGCGTCACGAAAGGAATTTCTAATAAACTACAGACATTCATCGATAACTGTTACGCTGGCTCGCTACTGAAGATCAGATGGCCAGAAAGAATAAGCAACAAGGAACTCTGGGAACGAACCAACCAAGAACCTATCACGCAACAAATATGCAGGAAGAAGTGGAGATGGATTGGCCATGCACTGAGAAGGCCGACCGAGGACATCACGCGTCAGGCCAGGTACTCGAGTGGAATCCCCATGGGAAGCGACGAGTTGGACGTCTAGGGTGACATGGAAGAGATCGTGCGAGGAGGAAATTAAAGCTTCTGGGCTGTCGTGGAACCAGGTTCAAAAGATCTCAGAGAACAGAGGTCACTGGAGGCGTGCTGCTGAAGCCTTATGTTCCACTAGGAACCCAAGGGACTAATAATAATATAATAATACTACTTCTAGGGGACCTGTATGGGATTGTGAATTTTGATGCTTGCTGAATGAACTGCCACCGTCAAAATTATACTCAATTTAGTGTTAATTTACGAATCAAGAGTAGATGGTAATAGCTGCCGTTTCACACTTATGCCTTCATTACTGTTATTATTAACACTATACATGTGTAATAATTATTTCTTTCAAAAATATTTGTTAGTATATTCCATGCTAAAAATTTCATACTGTATCATACATGCTATTTGGAATAAAGCGATTATTATTGTTACCAAAATAATTAACTTCAACGAGATGTAGGCTGATCTACTATAGGCTTAAAACTAGATCGTCGATTGGACCGAACTGATTAGCCAATTTTTGCATATGAGCTCGTTTGTGAATATCTCGATCCAATGAGTATTTTTGATGTTAATATTACTGGTGTATCGTAGGTAGTAGTGGAACTCAGGACACTCACAAACGTTTATGACATATGTGAAGGTTATGTAACTGTTTTGTTTTAGGAAGGATTCTAATTTCTATGAAAAAACTAGTTAAATTAGTTTGTCGGAAATGAATAAACCACCTTTTATGAAATCAGTGTTACCTGTATGTTGGGATACACAAAATCTTTGGGAATATATCTGAATTAAAGCATAATATGAATGATTTTTCAAGGCTACACACAAATTACTTCAAAACGTTCCACTGACTTAACGCCTTAAAAATTCACAATTGGTGAGCTCATTATACATTTGCAGTATGACGAATAACGTATCTCAGATGAAGCTATTCCTGAATAGGGGATGATATCAGCAATTACATTTTTTCACACGATAAGATATTGATAAGCCGTTCCTCACATAACCATTATTCAAAATAACTGAAAGAACTCGATCATGACCCAATGACTAGCCGGCATAAACTTGGTTACTATCCAGTGACCGATAGATATGCCTAATTCAGTTCCACACAAGTTTGATCGTGGCCCAAGCAGCTCAGTAGTAAAGTCGCTGACTGCAATACTGGTTGACATATATTTAAATCTGTAAGGCTGTATTAGTTCACTAGAAGTCGTGAATATGCCTTTCTGACAAGTGTCAGATAGTAGGAAACTAATTTCTAAGGTTTTCTGCCGATTATCTCCAACCGTCTAACAACTAACTAACTATACATTACTTCGAAGACAATATCAGGAATACTGTTTGAACCTCACAATCAAATAACTACTGGTTTATTGAATTTTATACAGATAACTGACCTACCAATGATCTCATTTGTTTGCGTTGAATTAGATTGTGACTCAGTTATTTTATTCAATAGTTTGAAGTAATCCACTGATTCCTTTTGTCTTGGCATATCAACCTGAAAGTTTGGCAAACAAAAACATCAAAGAATTTTATTCCTTGCAGACTGAAAAGACCATTATTAATGCATATTATTATCTGTAAACCATTTCAATTGACCCCTATTATTATTATTTTTTCGTTCAATTCCTTGTGGAACATAGGGATTCACTAGCACTTCACAGCATTCTCTTTTCTTCAGTCTTTTGAACCTTGCTTCACGACTGCACACAAGCTTTCATTTCTTCCTCACATCATCTCCTCCATGTCACCCTCACAACAGACGCCCAACTCGTCGTTTCTCATTTGGAATCCCCTCGATGGCCTGACCTGGTGTGGCACGTCATGTCCCCACTTGGTCATCTCAGTGAATGCCCAATCCATCTCCACTTTCCTCTGCATATTTGTGACGTGATAGGTTCCTGGTTGGTTCGTTGCCAACCAGCCAGAAGAGTTCCTTGTTGCTTATTCTAAGTATTCTGACCATCTGATCTTTAGTATTGAGTGTATGTGGCATCTGTTGATGAATGTCTGTAGTTTGTTGTAAATGATTTTTGTGACGTGCAAATTTTCTTGACCATATAGGAACACTGAGTTGACTGTATTGGTGTTGAATATCCGGATCTTGTTCCACATGCTGAGTGTAGTAAATCTCCACACTGGTTTCAGGCTAATGAACGCCTCTCTTGCTTTTTCGATTCTGACTTTGACATCCTAGTCTGTTTCGCCTGTAGTTGAAACAGTGCTTCTTAGATAGGTGAAGAAGGCTACTTTCTTCTAAGTTTCTCCCGTTGATGGTGTTTGGAGTTTGATGTTGTTGTTGTTTGGGTATCTTCAGAACCTCTGTTTTCTCTACATTCACTTGAAGTCCCATCTTTGCTACCTCGTCCCTTCTGTCAACTTGTTAGTTTTTGTCTGTATAACTTCGAGTTTGTGTGACAATAGACACAAATCATCGGCGAAATCCCAATCTTCTAGGCTCTTTTCATCAGTTCACTGTAAGCCTCTCTTCTCGCACCTCACAGTTTGCTGCATGATCCAGTCCATCACAGTCAGGAAGATCATCAGTGATAGTAGGCGACAGTCTTGTCCTACTCCTGTCTTCACTTCACTTCGAAGGTATCACTGAGCTTTCCATTGTGGACCACTTGGCATGTAGCATGGTATGGCATATAGCTGTTGAATGATGTTGATAAAGGTTTGTGGTATTCTATGGTGTTGAAGCAACTGTCAAATTACTTCTCTGTCGATACTGTCGAAGGCCTTTTCAAAATTGATGAATTTGAGGTTGGGAGTTGACTGGCATTCTATACTCTGTTCTTATCGTTGCAATTTGATCTGCACATGATTTGTTCTTCTTGAAGCTAGTCAGCCTGTTCCGGTCGTAATTTTGAATCCGACGTACCCCTTAGTCTCTTTAGAATGATATGGTTTGATATTTTGATTGGGGTGGACACCAGCATGATTCCGTGCTAGTTCTTGCAAAGGTTAGGTCTCCTTTCTTTAGGAGTTTGAAAAGGTAGCCCTTCCTCCAATCAGCAGGCAGGTACCTTTCCTCCCTTTAAAACCTTCTACAACAGTAGTGTGGGCATGTCCACTGTTGTCTCCAATTGACAGCTAGAAAGTACGAATTCATTTTTTATTTTATTGAGTACTGATATGGCTCATATGAATGTAAACGAACACTGAGTTTTGATTAGGTATAGTGTTCAGTTAGTCAGCTTCATAATATTCTCGTTAGATTACAAGTAAACAATTTGGGACACCAACATGTTTTCATTGAATTTATTTAATTAGATTGGATTAGTCTCCTTAGCGAACAGTAGTACATCATATAGATATTACAGAAATAGTCATCTAGAAATACAAATCTTCATACTGGCTAAATTGACTTGCACCATCAAACCTATGCGTGCTTTTCTATTCGCCCTCACATGCAGCAGTGTACTAGCAAAATGAATCATTATCTAAAAACAACTAGCCGTTGAATACTTCGTTGCTCATCATAAGATTATTGTTCGTTAAAAGGTTCTCGAAACAAACTTACACTTGAGATCTTTGGAGTGCATTTCATCTTGAAATGTTATTTAAAAGTTTGATTTAAAATAATCAGGTAATCACTCCTTTTATTCCACTTTTTTAACTTAAAACATGTAAACTACTAACAGTAATATATCCCTGACAAATTAGTAATCAAAATATGTAATTTAAAGAATGAAGGCGCTCATTAACCTGAAACCAGTGTGGAGATATGCTTCGCTGAACTCGGCATAAAGCGTGAACAACATCCGGATTTTCAACACCAACCCAGTCAGTTCAGTGTTTCTGTATGGCTCAGAGGCTTGGCGCGTTACGAAAAACATTTCCAACAAACCATAGACATTCATCAACAACTGCCGTGTACGCTGGCTCGCTACTAAAGATCAGATGGATGGCCAGAAAGAATAAGCATCAAGAAACTCTGGCAACGAACCGACCAAGAACCTATGACTCAACAAATATGCAGAAGGAAGTGAAGATGGATAGGACTGGGCACACACTGAGAAGGCCGACTGGGGACATCAAGCACCAGGTCAGACACTCGAGTGGAACCCCTATGGGAAGCAACAAATTGGGCTTTCGAGACGAGGTGACATGGAGGAGATCGTTCGAGGAGGAAATGAGAGCTTGTGGGCTGTGTGGAGCCAGGTTTAAAAGATTTCAGAGAACAGAGTGGAATGGAGGCGTGCTAGTGAATCCCTATGTTCCATTAGGAACCCAAGGACAATAACAATAATAAAATGAAGTTAATATAAATAATCTATTTAGCACTTTAATTCTGCAGTCTGTAATATTCAGACCCGTTAGGTAGGAAATCAATCATGTAATTATGAGTAGAATGCTCAAAATATGGATCTTGATAATTCGTGACCGATCCAAGCATGAACCACCTGCAGTGTGAACCTTTAAATAATATTCTGTTTAAAGAAAAACCCTAAACTACTGAAGTTCTGTAAAGTTTCAAGTTTTTCGTTAATATACGTTGTTCGTTATTGTAACTGTTAGGTTTTGTCGTTACATTCGTTTTCCGTGAGTTGTTTGAACATTCCTCTATAAATGTAGTCGAGTAATGCTGAAGTAGGAAAGATCAGTTGTTTAACTCAAACACAGCTTTCAAGGTGATCAAGAAATTACAGACTGCTATTTTATGCAGAAGCAATAGCGATCCGTCGACTGAAAACAAACCTATGTGGACAAAAGCAGTTTGTGGTCCGCTTTGTATTGTCTTGGCAGTTCTTTTCCTACAGCTTTATTTACAATTTTCATTCTTTCGTTTTATTATCCTCCAAACATTATTCTAGGTAGTATTCATCATGGACTGACATCAGCTGGGGACCCACTGGAAACGTGGAAACACTAGATAGTTGATTCGTTCTAGTATGGGACTCCTCAGCAGTACAAATCCACTATCCAGCTACGGATCGAACTCAGGACCTTTGGGTTTTACAGCGAATGGGTTAACCATACAGCCACCTGGTTGGAGTTCAATGAATACTACTCCAAAGTTAAAATCCCCATTCATCTCGAAAATAAACATCACTGTGTAGTGCTCATTAGTGACTTGCTTCCAGATGGATATCACGAAGTTCTAAGGAGAAGCCGTGACCAATGCAGTCAACCATTTGAAATGTAAGCGGATGCAATTTGAAGACCCAACCGATTGGCTTAATGGTCAACGCGTTCGCCATGAAACGTGAAGGTCCTGAGTTCAATCCCTAGCTGGGTCGTGGATGCGTACTGATGAAGAGTTCTGTACTAGAAGAAAACAGCCCTCCAGTGCTCCCAGGTTTTCAATGGTTTCCAACTGACGTCAGTCCATGACGAATACTACCTCAAAATTAAAATCCCGATTCATCTCAAAAATATATCCTTTTCATTTCTCTACCATTAATTCATACACTTTCCGCATCATACTATTGTCCTCCCACTTTTATCAGAATTCCTACTTTCTTGAACTGTGGTCATGCACACGCTCTACTACTAAGCCGTTTTATTGTTTGTGTGTTTACTGATCGACTTTATAGTTTAATGTATTATGTTACTTTCCCCTGTAATGGCTGACTGGGTCGTTAACTTTGTCAGTCATCTCTTTTCCGATAAATATGTAGTGATTTGAACACTGAAATTATCAGGTGACTTGTGCCCAGCACTGACAGTCTATTGTATACAATTTTCGATTAAGTTCATATGTGGAATCTCTAGAGGGGGGAGATGAATTTGATTTATCTCACAATGTTTGTTGTTCTTCCCTTGAAAAAAATTTAAAAAAGAAACCGATTTTATTAAATTTTCAAAAATCCCGCCTATCTGGAAATATATTTCTAGCACCGGATAATTTAGTAGTGATAATGTTCAAAACTATGCATAAATGCGTTCGTATTACATTTCCCAGAAACTGCCCGAGCTACAGTACCTTTCCTCGATAGTGTTATAAACAACTTTGTCGGTAGAAACTACCAGCTACTTGTAGGAACTTAAGTCGCCTTACTAGATCCTATACAGAGACTTCTGATAGTTCACTGAGCCAATTATATAACTTATTCAGTCATTATAAATCAACCATGGATCCGTTAAGTTTATTAAGTCACATCAAATTATTTAACTTTTGTCGTAGTGGAGAGTATCGTACTCATTCAGAAGCAGAGACTGAATTATACGAACCCCTACTTTGAGAACCTTGAAGCTTAGCTGTCGAAGCTTGAACTAGAACCATTGTCTTCAGTCTTCAGATATCATGTTCCTTACAATAAACTGAACCAAATTGATGTGAATTTCAGTGTGAAAATTATGAAAGTCAGCCGTGGAATTTAAGCGCATACCATAGTGATAAAGAAATCTAGCTGAAAGATAAATTTGTTAATTTAGCTAACCAATATACTACCAGTCCAAAATCTCATACCAATACTTCACCCAAAAAGTATCACAAAGTCAGTGGTGAACTGACAACGATGAATGAATTGTCTTACTGAGACATGATAAGACCCGAATGTAGTTATGTTAAACAAACAAGATTATGATTCAAAATTGCTCAACCTACTGGGTGACAAGAAACATTCCTCCCCTAGAAATGTCATGAATACAGGACACTTCAGACTGAAAACATGGTAAATCAGTGCAATAAAACCAAAATTAACTTATATAAGTGTTGTGGAGATTTGGAAATATTTCAAGTTGTTATTCATCGAAGACTGACATCAATTGAACTAGTGCTCGTTGGTGACTAGGTTCGAGAAGTATTCCCGAAGTTCCAATGACAAGTCGTGACCGGTGGAGTCAAGCCTGATGGCCATGAGGACAAATACTCAACGATGACATTGGGTGGCGGTTGCGCTATATATCCTGAGCTAACAGAAGTTGGAAATATGGAGCATTGGATTCTGACCCAGTGGCTTAATGGTAACGCGCTGGTCGCGGAACCTGAAGGTGGCGGGTTCGATCCCTGCTGGTGGGGTCGTGGGTGCGCACTGCTGAGGAGTCCCATACTAGTGTGACGAAACAGCTGACCAGTGCCCCCAGGTTTCCTTTATTCCTCCAACTGATGTCAGTCTTAGATGAATAACAACTTGTTATATGAGTGTGAAATTTTGACATTTTAATAGAATGCAATTCCAGACTAGATCTGTTTATTTGATATATAGAGCACAGTGATACAGTATTATTTACTTGATGACCACGTTCCAAGCATTAATCATCATTCCTCATTATCATATCAGTGCATAATCACACTACTTCCGACATTTCATTTTCACACTTATGTCACTTTATATGAGTTGTTTCACTGGTAGCAAAATTTTCCATTTCTCTGGTATACGTATCGCGTCATGCCTATTACATGTGTTGACTGTTGGTTGATTCGATGAAGAAAGATTCAGTAATCAACCTCTCTCTTAATCTCCATCTAATTATGTGGGACTTAAGTAGAATGGCTGAATCCCACCCTATTATGTGGTTGTGTGTTAATACATCCAACTGATCCCGACCGACTAGTTTGACCTATATACTTGACCTCGTAGTCATTACATGGAATTTGATAGATTACATTATTATTTTGCTTAATTGGTTCTATCTGATCCTTAAGCCAATAAAGCTAGTCTGTGAGTGATTTTGTAGGTTTAAATGCCACCCAAATTCTATATCAGGAATGAACATCAAAGACTTAACGTGAGATTCTTATCAAGACGGGAATTAGGGTGGCATCTAAACCTACAAATAGACCCCAATAAGATCAATAATGTAGAAAAAAACACTTGGCTGTCGCAACGGATGGATTAGCACACAATATACAATAGGGTGGGATAAAACTACTGTACCGAAGTCCGATATAATTAGGTGAAGAAATAGGTTGATTACCGACTCTTTGTTGATTAAGTCTACACCCAATATTTGTAACAGGAATGACGCAACACCTATACCAGAGATATGGAAAACTATACTACTAGTAACGACAAATAATATAAAGTGACAGTAGTATGATTACACTGATACGATTATGAGGAGTGATAATTTATGCTCGTAACGTGGTCATCAAGTAAATAATACTGTATCACCGTACTTTATGTATCAGGCAAACAAATGTAATATGAAAAATGAATTTACCTTAAAGGAATTGAACATGTTTTCTTCTGTGTTTGTACACAATAAATACTGGCTGATCACAACAATAATAATCATGTCACCAAGAAAACGAATACACCGGATAGCATCGTAGCACAACTGTAGCTAATTTACTTGGTAAAGTTAACTGCTAGGACATAACTTTTCAATTTTTGGATTAGGAAAAATGGTTCCTCTTTTTGTCGCTTTACTAAGAAGGAAAAGAGAATACAGATAAGATGGTTGGCAACCATTCTTATAGTTTGTCAGTAAATTATCACCACAATATTCAAATATGAGTACAATTATACTTCAAAAGACTTTGACTTATGTGTAAGTTGTGTACAAGAATACAAATTTATTAAAACTCCTATAGACTTAGTCATATTTATATTATCGAAATGTAATATTTCCTTATTCTCCTGGAACCAGTGGTTTCACCTATTATTCCAGTAAACTATTTTGTTTCTGACTTACATACATTTTTCAGAAGGTGAAATATACCCATACTTGGTCATGAATTCCCAGTGAAGAAGCTGTTGACAAAACTGTTTTGTAGGTTGCAAACCTTAACAACCCTACTCAGTATAAGTATAACACCTGAGAGATTTTTAAGAAATAGCAGAATTTTCCATAAACTGTAGGGTATCACATTTTAGTCTAAACAACAGTCAGTATGATTATCATTCTATCCAACTGCAAAAGATATGCTTTGAAATGATGCTTCCTTCTTGCTCAGATTGTGTGGACACAATGAACGGACTGTTATACATTGCGCAATCGCATGGCTACCTGTTCAACACCTCATCGACCCAAGATAGCTCTATCTCTAGTCAGTAATTGTGTCTAAAGTAGGTCCAAGTTGGTAGACTGTAGCCATTTGTTCAAATCTTGATGTGACCCAGTTCTCGATTTCACGTTCATTTGTCAGCCCATACGGACTACCTGTTACACAGTTACTCAAACATCCTTTATAGGATGTAGAAAAAGAATCGGCTGTCAATAATGAAACTGAGGAGGATTGATAACAGGTTGAAATTCTGACTAATGTGTACTCATATATGTTTATGTGATTATACTAAATACTGTTACTGCCTACAGGAAGATGTTTCAAGTAAAGATGCAGTGGTTCTACCTAGAAGGTTAAAAATGACTGAAAAGATGTTTTTTTTGCTTTTAAGACTTCAATTGGTGTTTTAAAGCATACATAACCTAATGTTTTACCTAGTGTAAATTGTTGATAAGTTTCTAGAAACCTGTCAAATGTACTACTGTACAGTTATTGGACAGGTTTGAATTCCCGCACTGATTTTCAGTAACCTTTGAATTTTCTGCTCAATAGTCAATACGGAACTTCTGTTAGGTTGATTTGTAGGGAAATAAAGTTGACGGGCGATTTAGATAATTATGAATTTGAACTGTCGGTAACGTATTCATCACGTCTTTTAGTCTATAGGAAACTGTTTTCGTTTGTTTCCTTTCATTCCTTCTCCCTCAGTTATTATAGATATTTATGCACTTCTCTTGGAGTTCCTACAGTGAAAACTAAATTATATTGATAAATAAAGGGTTGGTTGTTGATGGAGTCCGAGACAAGAAGGTTACCAATATGTTTGTGATGCTTTTGGCCATTGAGGTAAAACATTCACACTAACAATAAGTGAGGTTGGAAATCACATTGTACCAGATGCAAAACTATCTTTGGTACTTTTGAAGATATTGAAAACCTTGTCATTTGACTACTTATTCGACGCATGATGCTTCTGTATACCTTCTTATTTTGTATAGCGTTCGTCTTATGTTCGCCTATAACCCTGAAATAACTTAGCACTGCTGTTCCTCCACTGTTGCGGAGGTTGAAATCTGATTGGTTGTTAAATACTTTTGTCTAAATGTGGATTCAATGTTGCCAAGGTCGTTTAGAAATGCATATAATCAGCATCACTTTCCACTCTTTTGATTGTTACTCAGAAAGTGAAGGCTCTCTATCAACGGTTCGTCTTCTCTTCTTGTCTTCACGTATTGGTGGTATTGTTATTATGGTGGTTGACGTTGTAATTATCGTTTAGAGTCGATTCGTTTGGACGTTAGGTTCGTGTCGCTAGTAGAATGTTAGGTCGTGCTAACAGTCATAACATATACACTTGACAATGACTATCAGGGCTGATTAGCAAGCATAGTTGTATAGAACACCTAAGTGAAGCAGGAGATTTATCGAACTGAAATGTGTGAAGCATGTTTCATTGGTTAGACAAGGTAGTAGTCAGTTTGTTTCGCATATGCTAGTTGTTGATCAAGAAAAAGAAACTTACCTGACATTTTGATACCTGCATTCATGGTAAATAACTTTAATTGGATAACCATAAATTTTTATTGAACAATTCCGTATGGCTGTTTGGCTTCATTGCTGGAGGAAAAAAAATAGCATTTATTGTTACAGTATAGTGAAAAAATAACAGCGAATTCATCAAATTATTTACTCATAAATCTTTCTCTGGGCTTTATATTAACTAACAAATCTAATGTTTCACATGAATGACTGTGTGATCATGAAATAATCTGCAGCCTATTTCGTATATGTTATTATATACGCGGTAGTAGCCAGTAGTGAAATTTAGGACGCAGGCTACTTCCTATTTTAAACTCATCACTTGGATGTAGCTGAGGTTGATAAATTTTTCCCAGTTTCACAAGAAGGAAGTCAGGAGTATAAATAAATGACGAATTCATATACTTTTCCTAGTGACAATATTTACCTGAATCCTTTGAGTTTCTTCACTTGATAGCTTTTTCTTAGAATTTAGCATTTATATACCCACGTCTTCGATTATTCCAAAGAAAAAACACACCACTAATTATGAAGTATGGATTGTCATCAGTAAGCGTTCTAATAAAGCTATTTTCTGCCTCTGTAGTCTAGTCATTACAGGCCTTAAGTTTGAAATGATGAGCTTTGAGTCTTTAGACACTACGTGATAAGTCAACATGATGGTAAGCTTGATTGAGTGGGATTGACATACAAATAAATTTCAGGCCAATATTCCTACCGAAGGGCATCTTTAAACAACTGACATGTGAATTTCAAATTTTATTGTATTTTTCAATCCTGCTGGGTCCCTGATGATATGAATTCTTTTCAATGACTACCAGAATGTTTTAATTACTTTCTCTTCTGCTTTGATTTGAATGAGGAGGTGGGTTTCTAAGAACCTTGTATTCATAGACTAATTTTAACCATGAAAACCCAATTTAGACGAACCAAGGGTTTTGCCCGACTACCACTTAATAGTACTCACACTGACTGACCAGTTAGGACTTCTCACCCCAAACCAAATCTAACTGAATTACAGAGGGGGAGCAACACATTGAATATCATTTGACTATCTGAGGTAGCCGTGGTTTGGCAGACTAATGTTAATACTGGGTGATGATCGAAAGTGAAGTGAGCCACAAGCACCAGGCAGGAGATCCGGGAGTCTCTGGTTCGAATCTAGCCATGGTCCGAATTTTCATTTAACCTTTAGTAATTACCCAGCATATATACTAGTCTACCAGACCATGGCTGTTTCAGACAGTCAAAATGATAATGAAGACCTTAGTTGTTATAGTGTTCAGGAAAGCTTTAAGAGTTCAGTGTGATGTAATCGTAATAACGGCATATCCTTATCCAAGTCCACAGTGGTCAAAAATCACAAATAAGTTTTTTCTGAACATCATCGTATATTCAAGTGAAGAAGGTGTAGTTCACAAAAAGAAACTATTGGAAAGATTTCGTTTTTATTTTCTAAACACGCTAGTATTATATTGAAATATTATCTCACAACTTGGTGGACATTTCCTAGGAGTTTATACGCTTGTTGAAAACTTGCGTGTTCCTGCTAATCTCTGATATAATGAAATTTAGACTCTACTGCTTTATCCTAATGACAAATAATTTGTATTGAATTGAAGAATGGTCTATATTTTTTACAGTAAATGACTTCTAACAAGTAAACTGTCTCACGTTGATGTTAAACGTTGAAAAATACCCCTGAATATCGACATCAAACTATGAAAACTGTTGTATTATGAGCAATGTTTAGCCCATATCAGCTTCTTACTTAGTGTTCACATAACTGGTAATGTTTATAATTTATACCTTTAAATGACTAACATATATTTTGTAGTGATTATTACTTCAACTCGACTATTTACAAACAACGATCACGATGAAACAAAAGTATTTCGGTAGCTGCTTCCACCGATAGCAGAGTACTTCTCATCACTCCACTTTGTTACATACTGTATGTGACTTATCATTTAGGCGACAAATACTGTGCAACGGAAACATTATCAACATCAAAACAAAGTAAGAAACGTTCACTGCTTCTTCGAATTATATTCAGAATGAATCAACAAATGTTTAAGTCAATATGCAATTTTCATCTTGCGAAGAAAGAACACTTGATATGTAACAATATTTTATTTAGCTTAACAGATGTGAATAACTTGAAATTACAGTGTTATCATTATCATCACCAGATATTTTTCATCGACATTCACTTTCGACTTCAAAACCAGACATTTCAAAGTGTTGCCTAAATAGTTACAAATTAACACTTTTGGTGAGGCTAGATTTCGTTATGTGCAAAAGTAACATTTTTCTCTGTCCTCATGAGTAAAAAAAGGTACATTTGAGGGAATACATTTACTCATTTGCTTTCATGAAGTTATTGGTGTGACAAATTTCATGTAAGGTGAAAAAACCAACAAGTTGAATCAACGTCTGTCTTATCCCTACTACAATTATGTGGGTTGTCTATTTTATAATGTAAATAATGCTTGTCTTTAATGTTACCTGACCAGATTAGATTATCAGATGAAGTGAAGTTAGTCTCTACACTTGTTAATTTACGAAATAAAGAAATTATTGGTTTCAATACCTACAAATCCCTTCCTCAAATGTTCGCAGATGAACTAAATATCCTAATTTCGCTAGAATGAGAACGTCTTCAATCAGTTTATGATGACCCTGTTCTTGACACCTCAGGATAGATAAATAATGACTTTTTTGACTGACTGTCATTTACTTAAAATAATTAATGAATAATGAGTAACAGTTACTGCCAGAGACGCATGCTACTCACTCTCAACATCGAAGATTAAACAAATGTTGAGTACGGAATTACTTTCACTGTTTTAAGTCTCATCTACTGTCTTGTTCAATATATTGTCAAATATTCATTTTCCTATTAATTCCATGTTGACATACTTTTAATCACCTCATAATCACAATTGTAATACGTGACTGACGATATATGTGACACAAGTAAGAATAATTTGACTTGATCGAGACCAGAATTGGAATGCATTGCATTTATTTCCCCACATTCAGCATTCGTTAACTGAATGTCCCTAAAAATCAGCTTAATTATTTGCTAATATCCGAGTGTATCCTTGTTTTGAAAGAGAAAATGCCATAGATCATTTTGTCAATCATAGAAGTGAAATAATTAGGTGCTAAGAAGTACTTTGCTGTATTTTCAAACTTTTCTACAACTTTCGTACACTTCGTTTCTTTAATGAACGTCAATAACTCACTGAGAATATCATTTCTGCAACTGGATGATACCAGTTTGTTTCTCAGGATTTTCTTCAGCTGTATACAATTCGAATAAATAAGTTAATCAGCACTGTAACATTTAACAACGTCTCTTTTATGCGACATCTTACCATACCAGTTAACGTTTTGAAGTTTAGGAGGAAAATTCCAATTGTATTATATGAAGAAAGTTGAAGTATACAATTCAGTCAAACCATATACATGTTACATGAAGATAGGTAAAACGTGCTCATAAATGAATGAGATAAGATTATAAATAGGTGATTACCTTATCATCCGAAAGTATTATCTTAGCGAAATGCCCAGTGAGTTGGATAAATTGACGTAATCGTAACAAATACAATAATAACTAATCTACTGTCAATATGACACTGTATGAGACTGAGGGTAGAATAAAATTAATAAAATTCTAGGGAAGTGGAATGGTTGACAATTTACCTGTTATCAGAAAAATAATAAATTGTTAGTTGAGTTCCTTTGAATACACTCTTGGTTAAACTGATCTCACAGTAAAGGTTTTGGCAATTTGAAACTAATCCAAAGTGTTTTCTCTGTTAACCATAATGAAGCACATTACTGCATCTATTTTGTATTTCTTTGAATATGAGTAACAGGCTATTTTAGTGGTGGATAATTGTAAACCTCTTGGATGTAGACTTTTTGGTATGTGATCGATTTTCCTTGTAGACATCCGCTTCTCTGTTTTGTCTCTTAACTCAGTAGGTGTTGGACTGTGCAATCCTAATCCGTTTGCTGTTCCCTGCCACCTCACTAAATCATTTGGTTGCCAAAAGTAGAAAACACTGATTTATTTTGTAGTATGATACACCACCTTTTATTCTCCTTACCTTTATGATATTTCTGCATAAATTTCATGGTATATGTGGTGTTGAGTTGACAATATTTAACAAGTTGAAGTTTTTTTTGCAGTCACTTTTATCAATACAATATCTTTCTGTCCAATGAAAAACTGTTTTCGCTGAAACTATCTTGTAGTTGGTTGCATAGAAATTTTTCAAATCTGAATAAAAACTTCTATCTTTTGTTTTGCAGTGACTGTAGCTTTCCGTTATGTTATCGTCTTTACGTTTCAGCCATAAGTCAAGAAAATCCAGTCACACTGCTTCTCATCACACTCCATTTTAAATTTAAAACTATGGTTTACAGTATTGAAATGTAGAGCAAATGAGTTCCGTTGAACCAGAGTTTATTGTAGGTTTTATTATCAAAGTGTGTGGAGCTGATGAATGTTTACGAAATCAAGTGACGTTATCTCATCCTGTGGATGACATTTTCAATCTGTTATTCAGTCTCGAACAAGTCTTTAACATGTTTTTATTTGCATGGGTTAGTGTAAAATTGTTCTCTGGCATTATTTTAACCCATTCTTCTCTCATAAACAATACAAAATTGATATGTTACAGAATCAAATATTTATTCCAACCAACCACACAAGTGTTACTCGTTCTCTGACTTGGGACTGGTCAACTGAACATATTGAAACCCCAGTGAGTGATGGTGACTCCATTGTAGTTCGAAACCTTAGCTTATTGCTTCCAAGACCAAAGCGTTATCAGATAAGCCACTGCGGCACTATGCATACGTTTTTTTAGTAAGACCGACTTGCTACCGTTGTGCTATACTATTTTTACCTTCTGATTTACAATCTATTATCCCTAATTACTGCGTAATGTTTACCACTGATCTCTGTTAGCATCGTTCATGATGTTTTAAAACTACTATAATTGTACAGTTATCATGTGAAGTCTAGAAAAGTGTCCTTTTCTCTGACCTATGTCCTTTTA